ATCTAAAGAAATAAAAAAAAGTGACGATGCTTATTATTTTGGGCACTGCAGCATGTGCATGTCACTGTTTTTCTAATAGAGTTACAAATAAATTTAGTTGTTCAATATGTTTGAACTTTGAACCATAACAATAATGAATAAGAGGGCTTGTTAAATTATCTTTTTTTTTTGTTTCCTTCTATGATGATGAATGACATTAGAACTTAGTTGTCATAACATGTTTTGACTTCTAGTTTTATTTTGTCAGTGTATTGTGCATCTTTCAACAGGAATGGCCAACGTAACTTCATAGAGAAGTTACTTCAAGAATTGCATATGATGCCTCATGTGTTTTATTAGAAATGCAAATCTAAACCAAAAAGAAAATCCTTGTAGTATGTTACTGAAAACTGATTAACACAGTTTTCATACAACTGGAAGAGGACCGAAAAAACAGGGTGAAAAGTTTTACTTGCTTATGATATTTTTAAAGAAGAATATAAAACCTTTCAAGATTAACCGTGCTAACATATTTTGACTCTAGGAGTATGGTTTGCATTAATAGGAATATCAATTTGTTTATAACAATCTCATGTAATATAAAAAAAGCAAAATGATTGATTTCCGCTATGGTATAAATGTCATACCATCGCAACTCATGAATGGCAAGATCCGCAATATCCGAGTTTATTCGCATACACTCTACACCACAAGGAATTACCTGATAAATATTCAAGTAATAAAAAAATTTTAGTAAAGAAGAAATAGTGAATTATTAAAGCAACCATAAGTATAAAGAAGATTGCCAAATATGGAAATAGTACACTGACCTGCTACAGTAATACTCACCGGAGAAACATATTTTGGACGAATCGACAACCACACCAGACCAGTGAGAAGATTGGTTACAGACAGTGAAAGCGTCAAAATATCTGCTCTAGATTGTGAACTGCTCAGTGAACAACTTCACATGAGTTTATCCTATGAAGCTTAGTGATGTAATAAATGAAGGAAGAAAAAAAATCAAATAGATCCATATAAACAAATGCAAATTTCAGGCTTTCTCAAGAAAATGCCTGAACTATATGATATATTTGTGCTCAATTGTGGATAACAAATCAACCATAAGGATCAAGAAAGTTGAAAATTTAGGTAGTTGCTCAATTAGAACTTTCTGAATAAAGAAATTTAAAGTGGAAGAGGAACAAAAGAAAAAACAAACTATAATCCATGATCTAGAGCAGAATGATGATACACCTCCATCGTTGGCCTCATATTAATATTTGCACATCCACTGCTCGTCAATGGCATCATGCCAATGAAAGAGGAGAAATCTTTAACAGCTTCATTCAGAAATCTGAACTTTGTTATATTAATGGAACAATGTTTAAGAATCCCTTCAGATGGTCCAACAGGATTATAATTTATGCCCACATTATGCTTCAAAGGAAGATAAAAATTTAAGCTAAACCAAATCCTCATGGGATTCTCATTTGGCATCCAACCAGATTGTATTCTCCAATCAAAATGTTCAGCTTTCAGGTTTGTATTGGGATCTGTGCCACTGCAAAGATAGATATTTCTTGGTTAGAAGGTAAAATATTGGAGATTGTCCAAATCTTCCCTTCTTTTGTTGTGAGAAAGGAGGGTAGTATCGATGCATTATTCTTCTTTCCCCCTTCATAAGTTCACTCTTTTTGTTACCTCTCTCCCTCTTAGTGTTGCCAAAAGGAACTCAGGTGCTCACCTAACCACTCAAGCAAAGCAAAGCAAAGCCTGAGCGCCTCAACCCTTTTGGACAAGATACCTTTGCCTAAGTGCCGCCTAGGCGAGTGCTTCAACATCGGCGCTACATCCCATGTGCTTACGTGGGCTAACCAACCACATGCTTAAGCTAAATCACTTAGGACCAAACCAGTTAAAGCAAACATTCGTGTCAGACCACTGCAGATGCACCCAACCGCACCAGACCATGCCCGACTAGCCAAACTTGGTTCCATTAGTGGGAATTTCATTCGCACAAGCATTAAATGATGCAGCTTGTCTAAATGTCAATCATATAGACTTCATTTCACATTGACATTGACTTTATTACCTTGTGTAAATAGTAATGTCAACATTTAATATGGTTAGACTCAAAGGTTACAGTGGAGATCCTGAATAAAAAATGTCAAGCCCCTTGGAAATGTTGGATACAAGGGAACTAATTCAAGCTCTTAGCTCAACTTTGGACCAACTGTTGATTTCTTTTCTCATAAAGAAGTAAATAAGGAAGCTGATTTCTTATCTCATTTATGCACTGTCATATGCAGGAGAGCACTACACCTATCATAATTCCCTCCTGAGACATCTCGGTTATTACAAGCTAATAATGAAAGTAGGAAGTATTTAAGACTAGATTGAATTTTATATCTTTATTAATTGTCCTGAACCGGATTGTGGGTATTCATGTATCATGTGATTATATACCATGGGTTTTGTTTAAACAAACACCAGTATCTACAGGTACAGGAGATTATTTATTGTATTGTAATATAATTTTAAAATTAATGAAATCTTATATTTTTGCATAAGAACTTTTTAAAATGTTAATTGCTTCTCATACAACTGTGAAATATTTGTTAAAAACAAACTAATTCCAATGTGTTCAATTTTTATTTCCAAGTCGCTTAGTGCAAATTTAGGTGGATACCAAGTTTAAACCTCCATAAAGCAACAGAAAATTTGACACAACCTGAAATTCTTTGATGACCATTTTGCTTCCATCAGTCCAGGGTTTTCATCATATATTACGAGAAGAGCTCAAATAAAGGTCAGAAAGCTCTTCCCTCACATGGACAGTCTAATCGGCTGAAATTTTTTTTTACATGAGAATTCAACATAATTCTCATAACCAAAATTCCATACATTACAGACCTTAAGAGAATGACTAGGACAGACAAAAGGTATACACAAAATGAGATAAAACATTCATTGAAAAAGTAAAATGAACGATACCTTGAAGCGTCGGTAACAAGGGCGATGCCAGAGAAGGCACGATTAAGGAGGACGACAAGCAACGAGAGGCCACCGACATAGATGGGCAAGCTCCGGACAAGCCCGTTATTGTTGGAGACCCAATCGCCCACCAAATCCCTCCTTGGTCGGGGCCCTTTGTAAGCCTCCTTCCCACCAGACCGATCACCAAAACCACCATCAGGTAGAGGGAAAAAGAGGTGAGTCCCAACGGAAAAAGAGATGTGAGTTAGCTTCACCTGGGCAGAAGAAGGGGAGGAGGACATCATGAGAGGAACCAGGGATGGAGACTGAAATGGGCACCGGCGACTGCGAGGAGGGAGAATCGGAAATGCAGACAGAGACCTTCTTGAGAAGAGGCAGCCAATCACCTCCATTTTTAACGACGGAGACGAAGTGAACGTCAGAGGAGGGAACGGTCGGAGACCCAACAAGATAGCGTGCAAAAAAAAGATAAATAATGAAGGCACCTAAAAGCTACCCGAGGGAGAAAAGGACACTGGTATAAAGATAATTTTAGTGAAATATTTAATTGTATTTATCTTAACATCATTTTTTTTATAAAATTATAAAAATAATAAGTAAAAATTATTTGTAATATCTTAGTTATATTTTCGAATACGGACATAACTAGAGTTGTAGGTTTGATGAGAAGAAGTGATGATACAAATGTCGACGCTCTATATCTGATGTTGCTTAGTAATTACATTGGCACCAATAAAGATGTAAAGTGACATCACTCTATATTTATATTTATATTTATATTTATGTTGATGTAAATGTTAAGCAATGCTCTACATCTATATTAGGATTACTCGACATCTACATCGGTGCTAAGTAGATGCAGAACATTGACATCTGTGTCGTCGTCTCATTTTTCATCGTTGCTCTCCCTCTTATTATCTATGACCTCTTATTATCTATCACCACTGAAAACATAATTTGGACATTGAAATTATCTTTTTACCCATCATTTTTTTACTTTCATCGGTAAAATCGATGATGTTAGGATAAATTAAATTAGATATTTAATTTTCATAACTATAAGGATTTTAATATAAAATTTTAAAATATAACGACGAAGATACTAAATAAATCTGGCTAATTTATAATTAGCTCGATAATTTTTACTTATATTTTCTAATGAATCAAGTTGTACTTTGAATTGAATATTTTTGGGTCAACTTCATTCAACTTATATTCTCTAAATTTGTTGGCGTATTCTATAGTAGCTCAGTTGATTTCAACTTATGTTCTTGACTCAATTTGTTCTTGGAAGCAAATATTTTGGATCAACTGACTTAAAATATGCATATAACACCAAATCTTTATCTCATTGGTGTAATTTTACTTATTTTAATTTTTCTAAATTTGTTGGCACATTCTACATTTTTCCAAATATCATTGTTGCCCACATTGCATGATTTGCATTTTGGCAGGATTGATTAGTTATACCATCTTGTAGCGTGGCGGGCCGATATTGGCGGCCCATTTTGGGGTTTATTAGTTTATGTGGATTCGTTATGATTCATCCATGGCTTCACTAACTAAACAAGTGATGAGTTGCTGGTAAATCTTAATGGTGCTTATTGAGTCATTGACCATAAAAATGGGGAGGTGCCCCAATTCAATAATTTGATATAAGGGTTTTGATATCCATTCGTTAAAGAAAAATTATTAGTAAAATCCAATAAATTCAATGAACAAAGAAAATATTATTTGTTGACCGAACTTTGCATGTGTTTCTTCTCTGTGTTTTTAATTCTTATGCACTCGCTACTTGTGTAAACATTTTAAAAAGCCATTTGTATTACTTTAATCGAAATTTATATTTCCGCAGGAATTAAAGAAAAAAAAGGCTAACGTGGAGCAGCCAGGTAGACTCGGGTTAACGAATTGTCAACGTGCTTGCGTTTTCGGGCCCAGATCCGATATCAATCTCATCGGGCCCGAGCCGCTCCAGACGGAGCTTTATATACCGATGGAGCGTTCGAGAGACTAGGGCTTTGTTATGCTGCTCCCGCGTATTTGTCTGAGAGAGCAATAGCCGCCCCGATTTCTGAGAAAGAACTGAGCGCCACCATCGTACTTACACTCCTCATGTCTCCGGTCATGGAGCTTCATGACGTAAAGAGGCAGAAGAAGCCCAACAAGAAGAGGAAGAACAGGCCAATCCCCCAGGTAGACGCGGACGCCACCGGTGCTGAAGGTGGCGGACTGGCGGTGGACGAAGAAGACCACCACGAAGAGAAGTCGCTCAAGGGTTTAGGTGAGGAGCAGGAGGTGGTCAAGGAAGAGATGGACGGAGATCAGGTCGGCGACGGCGCAGAGATGACGGCTCCCGCCGTTAAGAAGAAGAAGAAGGACTATGGAATATTGACTTCGGAGTCCTTCTCTCGGCTCCCCATCTCCGAACTCACCATGAAGGCCATCCAAGAGATGGGGTTTGAAAACATGACGCAGGTCACATCTCGCTTTATAATGGGGATTTTCCAGATTTAGGGGTTTGGGGTTTCTTAGTTTTCTGTGAGTTATTTTTTCCGTTATACATCAATGATTGTACGGATTCTTTTTGGTAGAGAGGGTAGGAATTGGTTGAAGTTGATGCAGTTTGATAACATTATTGCCGATTGAGAGGGTAGGAATTGATTGAAGCTGATGCAGTTTGATAACATTATTGCAGATTCAATCTAGGGCTATTCCGCCTTTGCTGGAAGGGAAAGAAGTGATGGGTGCTGCAAGGACGGGTTCAGGAAAAACTCTTGCTTTTTTGATACCTGCAGTCGAGTTGCTGCATAATATCCATTTTATGCCTCGGAATGGTACTGGGATCATCATTATTTGTCCGACGAGGGAGCTTGCCATTCAAGTAGGAATTTTGTTTCCTTATTGATTTTTTGTTAGTTGCCTGTGGTATTTTTTATTATGAAACTTTGTGATATAAACAATTAGAAATAGTTTGGTTACACTAACAAAATCATGACTATCAAGTTAGAGTAACTAAGTCATATATTTATATATGTGTGTGTGTATATATATGTATATGTATATGACTATTGAGTTACAATAACTAATTCATATTTATATGTATGTATATATATGTATACACCTTCACCATTAATGCTGATTCTTCATTGTAGTCATTAGCTAACTATTACAAGCTTATCATAAGTGAAAAAAAAGACCTTTAGTGCTTCATGTTGAGGATGGTAGTTAGACAAACCAAAGCAGAAAAATCATTGCACTTAGCTTTTTATTGATAAACAATACTAAATGTTTTTGAGCCATCTACTGAAGGCACCTGCTTTTGTGCCTAGGCCTTTTGACTAGCCTTTCAAAAGGATTGCTGCCTAGACTGGGTAAGCATTTGAACAGCTTATACTATTAGATGGTTAGTCTGGGTTGAAGTAGTTTGTCTCTCATTGTGAACATAATTGAGTTTATGATATTGTTGTATTCCACCTGAAAACTTGGCAACAGAAGAAAAGAATGCTTTTTTAAAGTTTTTCTGTAGCAGATATGTTTGTTCATTTTGGCTGATTAAATGAATCCCTGAGGAAAAATGATGTTATAAATAAACAGGATCTTGCTAGTCAACCGATTGGAGTGTGTTCAGAGTTTTTGTTTTTGTTTTTTTTGTCGTATACATTCATCGAAGCTAAGATTTGGTTTAATTTTAGGACAACTCTTTGTTTATGTTGCAGACACATGCCGTTGCAAAGGACCTTTTGAAGTACCATTCACAGACTCTAGGTTTGGTTATTGGTGGTGCTGGACGAAAAGGAGAAGCTGAGCATCTTGCTAAGGGAGTAAATTTGTTGGTGGCTACGCCTGGAAGACTCTTGGACCATCTTCAAAACACCAAAGGATTTATTTACAAAAATTTGATGGTAAATAGTGTATATTTGTAAAAACTGCTAATCTTTTGTAGCCTATGAATGTGTTTTATTCTTATTTCTTGTCACTTTTGCAATCTTAATTTTTTGTCATGTTAGACAACTTTTGTTCTTGTTTGGACTTCGGAGGAATATAAGGTGTGCAAATACTAATTTTGGTTGATAAACATACCTTGACCAATGATAATCAAGTTAAGATGGATTAACTTGGCACTAACTATTGTCCACAACTCTACATTCATGATGATTGACATATCGGAGATGCCTAGGAGAATTGCATGAACTCTATTGTCCACAACTTGGCACTAACTATTGTCCACAATATGTTGATTGACATATCGGAACTCTAGGTTTGGTTATAGTTGGAATGAAGGTTATGATATTTGGTAGGGAAGAATACCTATGGGCTGAGCCTAAATAGTTGATATGAAGGGTTATTGCTGGTAGAAGTAACTAGTTAATGTTATACTTAATATTGCTTTATCATGTAGTAGCAGAATGACATTGTACGATTTTTGTTACAAGAAGTTTCTCTCTTTGCACAATTGAACTTTTAGGCCATTTCTTTATCTTTCTCTCTTTTCTCTTTTCTTTAAGGTGGTTGATACTGCTTATCCTTTGGTGACAAAAATCTGAGATAGCTGTTCTCAGGCTTGTAGGATATTTTGACACATGCTTATAAGGGAGTTGGAGAACATTGCTTTTAGCATTATGCTGGATTCAACCTTTTCTTTTTCCATCAGTCCCGCTGATGAATTTCTCCCCTTGTTTTCGCCCAAGATTTTGCTGGATATTATTTGTGATTAATTAATTGATTGCATTTGGATGCATGCTGTTAATGGTGATTGATAAAGAGGATGAAGAAGAGGAGAGGAGGAAGTAACGAGAGGTAATGTAGGTGGTGAGGAGGGGTGAGGATGGAAGAGTGTGGAAAGGTCTGCTGAACTAGTGCTACTGTTCATTCAGTGTTCTCATTTCTCATTGAACTCCCACTGATTGAACTGTCACTATTTGTTTGTTACTCATATTTTCTCTTTGGTTGAAAGAGAGAGGGGGAGAGAGACAGGTAAGACAGATAAATAGAGAGACAGAAGTGAGTGAAGGGAATTTGGTATTGGGAGAAGATGCTGGTTGGCATTTGAGCATTTGCATATACTTTGAATGGTAATTTGCGGTTAATCCTGCACACATGGTGGCTCTTGTGAGTCATGTGGAGCTTAGCAAAGCATTAGAAACTACTGTTTTTCATTTTTCCATAAGTCTGAAAGTGCTCAAGAGTGATGAATGTACTAAAAATCGGATGTCCCTGATTCAGTGGTTTTTGTGAATCAATTAGTGCAGTGAATAATGTGTACAAAAATAATAATATGGGTGAACCCAGTACATGAGTCTTCCACCCATGTGGTATTTGCAAAGGGAAAATGACAAGAAACAAAGAAATATTTCACTTAAACAATGTTTTTTTGTTAGTAAAACTAAAGCACTAGACATATGATTCCTTTTAAGTTTTTGAACGTATTTAAGTTTTCAAATGATCTTTTTGTGCCAATCCAAGATACTTTTATACAATCCAATCAATCCTGTTGATACTGTTCCCAATCCTAAGTCCACAAAGCTTGTTAAAGGCTGACCTGGCATGTGAAGTTCCATCAATTTGTGGTCTAGGGATGGTGAGTGAGTGCTTATCCTAGCAAGCAAGGAGACTGTCTTTGTCTTAAACGCATGAATCCATGAATCTTGTTGGAAATTGACATATATGTGGTGCTATGTTGGGTGATTCCTGTCTTCAGCACTCAGTCATAAGTGGAGGTGTCTAACATCATAACTTGAATCGTTTATAACATATCACCTTGATATTTTAATTACTTTGTGATCATAGTAGTTAAGTTGTAGCTATTGCGACTTACATCACCAATAAAACTTTTTTATTAATTGCTTATTTTCATTGAACTCATGTGTATTGATGTTTTGCTGGTATCTCAAGCTCCCACACTTGGAAGATTCATCACATGTTTGATCTAAACCAATGGCATCTGAATTATTGGACCTGAAGTTTCTTTTAGATTGTAACTGTTTGTTATTTGTTCTTTTGTGCCAATTGTCATATTGTTCCTTTCCAAATGTAGTTTCTTATAATTGATGAAGCTGATCGAATTTTGGAGGCTAACTTTGAGGAAGATATGAAGCAAATATTTAAGCGCCTGCCAAAGGTGTGTATTTCATTCTTTTCCTGATAATTTACCTTTTCGTTTTTTGATTTTCCATATAGTTAAACTGTGGTTTTGTGAGTGAACATTTTATTATTTGGTAATCCTACTGATGCTGATACTTTCTTCCAAAAAGTCAATGTTAATTCATTTATTTCCTTTTCATTATGTATGTGTCACATTAATTTTTTTTAATATTGAAGCTTGTTGTTGACAATAAATCAAACTCTGGTTGTTCTTGTCAATATATGCAAGTATTTAACGGTTCGACCATGAATTGATATTGGACCATATAGGTTGGTACTGGTTGATATGTATTATTTTATTATTCTTTTGGTGATCCCAGGTAATACAAGTTGGTTATGTATGTGTCCAATAGGTTCCTGAAGCCAATATTGTACTGAGATTGATATCTTTGATTATTATTATTTGTATTAACATATGCCCATTGTAATGAGGTCTTCTCTACATCAAGGAAATGATCCATAAAGTTACCAACTAGCTCAATTTATATGCATCAATGTTTAATTGTTGTGGCTGGCTCCAACTGGGCTTCCCAAGTGAGGGGTGACACCAACTAGGGCTGGGGTTCCCTGATACTTCGCATCCAAATCTTACTAACATAGGCCACTGGAGGGGCAGGGCCGGGTTGTGTTGGCCCCTAGAGTGGCCAGAAACTTTGTGTGCCAGCTCTAGCGAGGATGTGGGCTGCCTAGGTTGCTCACAGCCTACATCATAACAGTATGGAAGAAGGATAATGTTTCTTCTAGATTCTCTCTATAAGTTCCTTGTGATGAGGTAAGATGCTCAAGTGAGGAGGTAAGATGCTCTGGTTTGCTCACGGCATGGGTTGCTCACAGCTTACATCATACAGACATGACAGATGAATAGTCTATTCTTGTAAATTCTCTACAAAATTTCATTGTGTTGAAAATGCTATTACCTTGTTATTTGTTTCAAGGACTAAATAACGAACTTGTACATGGCCTTAAATGTTGACCAAGAATTCTATATTGACTGAGAATTCTGCCATGAAATTGTATATTGATTTGTAGCCAGTAAAATTTGGTTTCTTTATTTGATCTATGTATGGAATTTGCAACTTGTAGTATGACCTTGTGATATCAATGTACAGGCAAGGCAAACTGCTCTTTTTACTGCTACCCAGACTAAGCAGGTTTGTGGTTTATACTGAGGATTACCGTAATAATTTTTCGTAATATGTTTAATTTAATAAAAATTATACATTATTCAGGTTGAGGATTTTGCGTGTTTGTCATTTAAGGAAAAGCCAATATATGTTGGAGTTGATGATGGGAGGTCAAAAGTAAGTTTCATGACTCCACTGTCATATATGTTGGTGCTAGTGACAGTTATGACAATGTTGGCTGTTTTCAGGTCACGGTAGAAGGTTTGCAGCAGGGGTACTGTGTTGTTCCAAGTAACAAAAGGTTTATGGTCTTGTATGCTTTTTTGAAAAGGAATCTTTCAAAAAAGATAATGGTCTTCTTTTCTTCCTGCAACTCTGTCAAGTACCACTCAGAGCTTCTCAGATACATTCAAATTGATTGCCTTGATATCCATGGAAAGCAAAAGCAGCAGAAACGTACGACAACCTTTTTTGACTTCTGCAAGGCAGAAAAAGGGATCCTACTCTGCACTGATGTTGCTGCTCGTGGACTTGATATTCCTGCTGTGGTGAGTTTTAAACTTCCCTATTCATGGCTGTGTGTTATCTAATCCTAATAGTAATCTGTTCTTTGCCTGTAGGACTGGATTGTGCAATATGATCCTCCTGATGAACCTAAGGTAGGTGGTTAAGTGGATTGCATAATCATGTTTTTGTTGTGCTTTCCAAAGACCATCTTGATGTTCTAAAATTTGTATTGATTTTCAGGAGTACATCCACAGGGTTGGTCGGACAGCTCGTGGAGAAGGTGGCAAAGGCAATGCATTGCTTTTTCTGTTGCCTGAAGAGTTGCAATTCCTTCTTTATTTGAAGGTAGACTACCCTGCATAAGTGTTGCTTTTGTAGTACTGGAGCCATATGATTATTGATTTGTTTGACTGTTGCTGATAGGAAGCCAAGGTACCTGTCAAAGAATACGAGTTTAATGAAAAGAAAGTGCCAAATTTGCAATCTCACCTGGTGACACTCTCATGCGATCATCATATTATAATTTGCATATGATTGTGTATCAGAAACTAATTCTTTCGATGGTCTACTGCAGGAGAAAATAGTGGGAGAAAACTACTATTTAAGCCAGTCAGCTAAAGATGCGTATAGGTCCTATATTTTAGCCTACAATTCACATTCTATGAAGAATGTGTTTAATGTGCACCACCTCAATCTCAAGGTACCAATTAACTTTGATGTTGATTGTCTGTTTCTAATCAGGCATCTTGTAAACGAGCTTCCTAATGTGCTGTACCTAGTGAAGACCATTAATAAATTAAGATGATAGTTCACTACCTTAAGGCTGTCATGGTTGGAGGTTTTACGAAATATAGTAAATCCTTAAGGCTCAAGTTTTGGGGAACTGCTATTGGCTAATCATCTAAATTGTGCATATTCATTATTAAAAAAAAAAGGGTATATTCTTTTCTTTAGTTCATGCTAATTTTGATCATGTCATGCACGTACTTGCTAAAACATGAGCCTCATGTCTCTGATGTTGACCCTATGATTTTTGGGCCTTTTGTCAGGATGTGGCTGCATCATTTTGCTTTAGCTCGCCTCCGAAGGTGAATTTGGACTTGGAAAGCAGTGCGTCCAAGTTCAGGAAGAAAATGCGCAAAACTGAAGGCAGCCGCCACGGTATCAGTGCAAGTAATCCCTATGGAAAACAGAAGGGTGATGACAAAAGACAGTTTGCACGATACTAAAGCTGGGCCGTGCAGAGAGGAAGAGTCTTACACTGCACATGCGGGAATTATATTTCATATCTGATTTGAACAAGCTTATAGATTCCAGTTTCTGGAGTTTTGTATGATTACGACTATTAACTTGATCAGTTTCTTCTCTTTTAAAAGAGCAGCATAGTCAGGGATGTATTCTTTGGGAATGTTATATCATTTTTATTCAAGAGATGGGTTAACAATTCAAGTACAGGTGAGTTGTATCGAAACAAATCCAATATTTTTGTGGCATAATTCCCTACAGCTATATGTAAGCCATTTAAGGCAGTCTGGATTCTCACATTTATGCTATTTGCCCTTTACGGATGATCTTGAAAGATATATCCAAGCGTGGTTTACAGACATGACTGATAGCGAATGTTCCTTTTCAAAATATGATGTCTCTTTGAATGTGTTGGGCTGATCTGTTTGCCTTTTTTTTCCTCGTCGATATGTTAGTATCTTCAATTTTGTTTTTTCACCGATTTCGAAGTATTAATCTCAAGTTTCGTCGCCGCCAATGAGACTGGAGGTGTGTAGACGCTCATAAAATTTGGTCCTAGCAATCAGGCAAAACTCATGTTTTTGTTAATCTAAAATCAAGGCAATAATATTTCTGTTTGTTTGTATGATTCTTGTTCGGCGTCAATGTCAACATAGTTGCCTTGTCGCCTTCGACGATAATAAGGTCCGCTCTCATTGTAATACCATCCGTCTCCACGAGGAGCGCACTGTGAAACTCATCATCGTAGATGGTGGCCACCTCATCGCTAACCTTTTGGATAGATCCCAGCCTCAACCCGAAGCTGGTGTTGCCGGAGCTCTTGCCATTTCCCCCTTTGCCACGTTAGTTTTAGCACCACTTCTCACCGAGCGACCTTTTTGATGCTCAACAACTATGTCGACAACGATGTAAATATAGAATGACAAAAGGGTCACTCGACGAGAGGTTGTGTTGAAACTAATGTGGTAGTGGGGGAGCGATAGGAGCTCCGATGACCCTAGATTTGGGTCAAGGCTAGGATCCGTCCAACGGGTCAACGGTGAGGTGGTCACCATCTTCACCGTAGACGTCATGGTGGCCACCACCATTTGCGACGACACCAACATAATTGTTGTTCAGTGTCGATATAGATGCAGAGCGGCATAGGACAGGCGACGATGAGGTCGACGACACGCTCCTCATGGAGGCAGGTGGCATCACGGTGAGAGTGAACTTTATCATCATTGGAGGCAGCCATGCAACTGCATCGACACCATCGATGTCGTCCGTCACCGAATATTAAAATTATTTTTTTACCATTTATTTTTATGTTATTATTCATAAAACCAATTGTAAAACATCGTTAGGTAAATATACATAGATATTTCGTTTTGGTAACTGTAGGGATGCTATTATAATTATTTAAAGTATAGAGATCGAGACTTTAAAGATAGCTAACTATAGGAATAATATGCAATTAGCTATTTTTCAAGTTATATTATCATTTTTATTTTTTATATAAAATTTTAAATAATAATAATAATAATATTATTATTGAAGTCTGACACATATTAGATCCCGGCCCAAAAAGATTTTGAGTAATTTGATGCAGCTCTCAAACCTGACGAATGAGACTCCAATATAAAGGTAATTTTTGCTTCATATTATTTCAAAGCCATATGCATCCGAAAGGATCATAAATTCTCAAATATAGTGTAACAACAGACGGACACCTATCAAAAAACCATGTTTTCTGATATTTTAAGATCAAACCGCGAATATATAGGCGCGATTTAACACTCATTCGACTTAAAACTTCAAATCCAATTTATGCCGTCGGTCGGTCACTCGAGTCTTTGAATTCGTTTCTATTTCAATCTCCATTACACCTCATAAACTAACTGATCACCGCAACGAGGCCTCCAGTAAAAACAGGGTAAAGCAGCGTCAGGGCCAAAGCAAGCACCGTGGGTGTAGCTGTGTTGGCGCCGCTGGGCCGAGGGGCGGCTGCGGGGTTGGGCACGACTCCGCCGCCGCTGCTGTTGCTGCCGCTGCCGCTGCTGGTGGTGGCGGGAAGAGGAGATGCGGCGGGGGAGACGGAAGGGGCAGCGGAGGAGGCCGTCCGCTTGGCGATCCTGACGTCCACCTTCTGGCCGGCGCTACAGTGGCCGGGAACGCCGCAGATGAAGAAGTGGTGGCCCCTGCGCTTCAGCGTGATGGGGTCATTGCCGGAGGTGTAGGCGGCGATGGGCGACGCCGCGTTGCACGCCTTGTAGTCCGCCTTGCTCACCTCCAGCACGTTGTGGAAGTTCTTGTTGTACTTGAACACTGCCACATTATTATGTTGAAAGCTAATTTCTTGCTTGGAAGCTTCACAGAAACATCGAGAGGAATATATACATATATATTACAAAGAATAAATGATGAAGACGGGATTCAAACTCGGCTAAACCAACAGCTTCAAACATAAATCACTTGTGACAATTGAACTTTTTCAAGTGATGATTTCGAGCATACACGTAAATAACCTGTGACAGCAAGCTTCTCTTTCGAAGCATCATGAGTAAATCGATGAACAGCAAGCTAATGTAAAGCAGGTTTGAACTCGTTTGCCACACATGGTAAACAGTATATAAGATAAAATGTTGGCCGTAATCTAACTGAGCAGCATATTCTTCTCTAATGCAGAAACCTTGGAAGCATTTTCCATTAACGAAGAACCTAAGTTTAAGAAGAGAAAATCCAGTACTCGAAGCAATTTTGATCTTTTAGAGAAGAAGAAGAAGAAGAAGAAGAAGAAGAAGAAGAAGAAGAAGAAGAAGAAGAAGAAGAAGTGGAACGAAGAGGTAATTAAGGGAGGAACTCGCCTATGGTGTCTCCCATATCGAACCTCTTGGAAATGGCCCAGGCGGTGTAGTTGGGACTTCCCAAGATGGTCCAACCCACCACATCCCCGACGCTGTAAACCGCAGCCTCCGACAGCCCCGCGCCGCCAACAATGGAAACGAGCACGACAAAGATGGACATCGCCATGGCCTTCTCCATGGGAGGCAAAGAGGAGGAGCTGTAGGAAGAGGGGAGAGAGAGAGAGAGAGAGAGAGAGGGGAAACGAAAAGGTTTCTTGTCACCCTCTCCTCCCTTTCTCGCGTGCGTTGGTGCACTTATAAAAGCTCTCACACAACCCACATGCCCATAATTCCTTGCCAGAAGACCTTTCCTCCGGGATACGTAACAAGCGGAAAGCTGTAATCTTTTGTTTGGATGAGTGAAGCTAACGTAAACTTTCCCTCTCCCAAGTCGAGTGTCTCAGAGTCCTCCAATAGGACATCAGGCAAAGTCTGTTTCGGAGATTTGAAGTAAAACTCGACTCGTGATATGACGCAGTATTTCAAGATGCTGACCATTGCCGAGACAAACTGACGGAGCAAAACCTCTATTAAATCCAAAAGATTTGGAACGTGAAGTCTAAGATTCATGGCGGACCATATCATCATCACCTTCGTTGCTTCCATTTATTACTTGGGTCTGTGTTGGTCACTTTTGCTTCTTTGGCACTATTAAGTAGTCTTCTTCTACTAGCGAATGAAGAGGGAAAAAAAACCAAAAACACAGTACAGTTTTAGTTTCCGAAATCTAAAACCGATAATTCTGATTTAGTTTCGAATCGATCAAAATCTTAAACGATCAAATGCCCCTCTAAATGTGATAAATCAAATCCCCTTCTAACAATTGGAGGGATATTTAAATAAAAAAAAAGATAGTATCAGATTTAACAAAATCGAAACCAAATAGTTACATGGCTAACATAAATATCTCCTCAAGAAGCACATACGCATGCGTGCACACACGAACGAGTGACAACAAGCTATACGCCAAAAAAGAGATGCATGCATTCTTTACTTCAAAACGACGTCTATGATTTGGTGTAACTGCCGAAAGATATGAAAATGCTCGGGAAACATAAGTGGGTGTTCGGACTGTGAAAATTGAGTACAACAAAATTTGGCCGGTCGTCAAACAAAGGCTTCTTCGCACAACAATTGAGGTTTTAGCTCTCCTTAGATTCCCTCTAGCTGTCTAGATGACTCCCATAAAATTGTACTTTAGCCTTCTCGATACTCGTTCCTTGAATTGGAACAATCGAGTCGAATGTATACGTTTGTTTTCCTTCATATTTAAGATTCTTTATTAAGGACAAAGAGCACTTGATGTACAAGTTCAAAAAGGAATATGTGGTAAAACATGCATGCCACATCAGTTACGAGTGAGATGCCAATGTTACAATAGAAAATAAATTTGATTGTCTAAACATATATTTATTCGATTGACTAAAGCGACAAACTAAAATATCAAGACATATAAGTACCATATAACAAAGTCTCTCTACTGCACAAACAACGGCATCAATTAGAGTGAGACGCCAATGTGAATATATTCAATGAGAAACAGGATCGTCATGCAACGTCAGAAAAAAAATTTCAAGCAAAGAGAACAACCAACAAATGGGTCATATATGCCATCAAAGAGAACTCGTTTAATTACTCGGGATGGAAAAATCTTCTTGCAAACGTGAGAATATCATTCCGTATCATACTTCCCATTAAAAACCAAAACATGTTCAATGCGACAGGATTTTATGATCATAAAGTAAGATTACTGAAAATAAGCAGAACATAAAAATTACCCAATAATGTATGCAGAGGAAAAAAATATTCCCCTATCATCAAGCCAGTAATAGTGCTCAGAGTTGCATTTCCCCAAACTGGAGAGAGTAGGCACAGTCCAAATGTGATACAAACAAGCATACATATAAGGATTATACTAGGATATCAATCACCCAGTGACTACTACTACTCGGATCAGGCAACAATCTGAAGCCTTTCAGGACAAGCCCCAGACCCGAACATTCAGGATTATTCCTTTGGTGTAGGCAACAATCGGAGCCTTTCTTCAGAAGCTCCTTTTCCAGGATACCTTTCCTCCGCTAGAAGGGATTGTAAGTCACTTCCGTTTGCCAGGCTATTGAACTCTACGGATTTGGATGGAACTGCTGGATTGCGTCGCTGGCAAAAGGTCATAAGCCTCTTAACAGACTGAAGATATTTACGGGTGGTCTCATCATTCATGATATGGGCCACACTGTTTGTGTAGATCTTCTCACGAGCTGAACGTTCATGGATGCCAACCATAGTGACACCAATAGGCCATGGGGCATTTCCAATGGCCATCTTAATGTACTGATCCATTGCAGCCAGATAATCCCTTTTCATGCAGCACTCCACCACAACCAGTAAAGCTTGACGAATGTCATCTGGAAGTACCTACATTCAAAATTAAAACCATA